AAATGGCGTACTTAAACACCTCTTCATCCCCTGAGGATATCTGTAAATAGAACTGGATTAATGTACCACCCATTTATTACACCATGCAAAAGAGGGTTGGGAACAAAGATAAATTTCATTAAGGAGTAACATTCTTTATATCAAAGTTTTATTTTATATGTAGCTAAGTTTTGAAAATACGCAGCGTAGAAAGTTACTCGTAGATTATAATATAATTTTTGCAGCATCATAATCATAAAGATGAATCAAACCAAGAAACAGCTCATCCCTTGGACTCTGTTTTTAAATATTGCTCCTTTCAATTCTGTAAAACACTAGGATGGAAAAAGAAAGAAGCTTTTTTTTTTTTAACATTCAAAAGATTACTAACTTTCTCACTGAGTTCATACTTTCTGGCTACAATTATTGAATGAAAACAAAAGAAAGTTACAGGGACATGCTGCAGAGTAAAATAAAATTAGCCTAATGAAAGGCAATGTTAGCCCTAAACGTCATACTACAGAAAGTAATGAACTTTTTATAGAATTTAGAAATGTTTTCATCTATATCCACAAACCATATTTGTTTTAACTTCAAGTTACTAGAATAAAGGGGCAAGTTTTCTATAAAGTATTCAACTCCCTGTTTTTCAGCTCTGTGAAATGAAGCCATGTCTATATGGTATTCCTCTGTCACCAGGGAAGACCACATTATATAGGGAATCTCAACAGGTGATTCTTTGCAACGTGCTAGAAATGCTATCACAAGGAAGTTTTTTCCACCATTTGTAATAGTCCATACTATGGTCTTCTTCCTTAGAATGCTGGCATCAACTGCCAAAGGAAGAGGCTCTCAAAGAGAATCTCCTCTCTTTTTAAGCCAGCCCTGGAGTCACACTGAAGAATCCCCCTATGTAGCCTGCAGCCCACAAAGAAAGTATCTTCTGGGGACAGAATTGTTGAAAACACACTTCCCCCTAGAGGCAGAAAAGATGAAAGAATAGTACACATAATCCAAGAACATCTCTGTCATTCAATGAGCAATGAGATTTTATTTTTAACATATAATTGATCTTTTAGAGGGAACCATTCAAGATGTAGAGGGGAAAGCAATGAAAGGCGAAAAATTAAAGCCTTGCCTCTAGGTTTTCAGCTTGCCTTAACAGGGACTCAATTAATCTCTCTTCCTCTTATATACAGTATTTGCCAGCACTATAAATAATAGCAATTACATAATTTTTATATTTAAACTTATGATTCAATTTCAGTTGAAAATGCAGTTAAATGTGGCCTTGAGGGGTCCTTCTGAAAGTGCAGCTCTAGCAGATTTCTCTCCTTATGGTCAGATTTGTTTCTGTATCACTGTCCTCTTAGGTTTCCATTAACTACAATCTCTCTTCATTTCTTTGGAGATATTTGGAGATAAAATGACATTGGAAACACTTCTGAAAAATCTAGAACTCACCTGTGATTTAACCTGAGTGCTGGCATGAGGTTTTCTAGGATGTGCAAGCTATATTAAGAATTCCCCCAGATGGGGAGGGTATAACTAAACTGGTAGAGTGTGTGCTTGGCATGCATGTGGTCCTGGGTTCAATCCTTCATATCTCCACTATAAATAAATAAATAAATTACCTCCCACACACACACACACAAAAAAATTTCCCCAGAAACTAAAAACATCCTAAATCAACTGCACTTCAATTTAAAAAAAAATAATTCTCATCATTGATTTATAGACAGGGTATTTAATATAAACCATTTTTAAAAATCAAACAAAAATGTGTAAGTGCCTCAACTTCATGCATACCCATTCTGACTACATTTAATTGGTTTATTTAGTTGTACATTATGTCATTTCAAAAAGGCTTTAAGAAGGAGCATAAAAATGTAAAGTGGAATTTTAGAGAATTTTCCTCAGGGCAAAATGCACAGCAATTGCATCCTACTCTCTTGGACTCTGCTTTTTTCCTTAAGGCTTTACTAACAGTCCCAAGCCTCAGCAACACTCTCCTCTCCAATCTGAGTGCCCCCAGCATCCCTCGTGGTTGTGATCATACTCAGTTTTATTTCCAATTACCAGGAGGCAGTCTGGGTGGGCATTCAGTCCTCAGAGTGTGTCCTGTGGGAACAGCACCCATTGAGGAGTCTCACGATATGTCCAGAGGTTGTCTTTTCACCAATTTGCCCTTCAGTTTCCTCAGTTTCCTCAGTTTTCTCCTTCTGATATGGAGATAGTGATCTTGTCCTGGTGTTGTAGAACTAAGGGTCAGGCAAAAATAGACGGACAGTTCTTCATATATAGTAGGAAATTAACAAGTGGCAGGAAACTATACTCAGTATCTTGTACTAACATAAAATGAAAAAGAATATGAAAATGAATATGTGTATGTACATGCATGACCGAAACATTATCCTGTACACCAGAAATTGACACATTGTAACATATTGTGACATTGTACT